TCGAAATGGATTTTCCTGCGCCCGCGAGAGAGAGCTCTGATGCAGTTTTAATAGGGGGGAGGGAGTAGAGCCCTGCGGCCAGCCGATATGATTGATCGCTCCGACGCTCGCTCGCGCAGCGCACACTAGATATTCCGATTTTTCCAATATGCTATTTTTACTCTCCCTTGTGTTTTCGTCTTTCTTTCTATCTTTTATTCGCTTCGCTGCTACGATCCGTTTTCCACGGAGGCGCGTTGATTTTTTTTTTCATCTTTGCTTCTTGCGAGTAAAAGTTTTTGGCTGTTGTATTTCTGAATTGTACAGATTCGTTTCCGTTTGTATTGATTGCTCTTTCTTCAATTACGAGGAATACTGCGTGTTATTTGAATTTCAACAACGCAACTTTTGCCAACTCCAAAGAGCATAAAAGGAAATTCTGCATATATAACCTGTACTATTTTATAATCTATATTTGCAGATTTACGAAACAGCCGACTCTGATCGGGGTCAATTTATTTGAAAGAACATGTTCCGGTTTTGTTATTTAATTGAATGAAACGTACCTGAGAGTAATTGCAAATAATTTGGAAGTCGTCTTTATTTTTGAAAAAATTAATCATGTTTTGTATTGAAATGTTTTGTAATATTTCTTCATACAGAAGTATTTAAATGTAATAAAGATTTAAAGTATGGATATTACATTTTTTATAATGACTAAAACAAAGAGAAAAGTGTTCAATAAATTTAAACAATTACTTAAAGGTAAAAATATGAAGCATCAGCTATTACATCATTTGCTAAAATAATATTCCAGCTAATAAAAAAGGTACCTTGTCAATTGAAATGACAAAATTCCAGCGTTGAAATAATTGCTAAAACGAGGAGCTTGCGACAGTGGGAAAGCTGAATCGAATTAGAGAGCGTCGACACAAGAGCGCGTTGGGACGGGATAAAGGGACGCGACGATGAAAATGACGAGGAGGCTCAAAGGCTGGTTAACGCAGATTAGCCCGACAATTTGTCACGCTACGACAGCTTTCCTCGCCGTTGCCGTGCTTGCACTCTTCCTCCTCTTGGTATACGTATACGCTACTTGTGCGAACGATGAAAAGTACCCGGCAATGACAATGTCATTTCATTTTTTTACCTTCTCTTCAGCAAAAAAAAATCGAGATATGCGCTTCGCAAGCACAGAGCTAATATTTCTTTTTCGCGTTCCAAGTTTCAGACATACGTTTTTGCGCGCTTGGCTCATTATTTAAATGAAACATCTGCTATTTTTATTAATCGCTTTTCAACGCTAGTATGCACGGTAAAAACACTATAATATTTAGCTTACTCAAACATATAATGAAGAAATAAATCCCAGTGCTCACGTAGTCGCCGACGTTTTTCTTTATCTCATTATACGCTACTTTCAAACCAAATGCTTGAAACATCAAAGGAAGACCACCAGAGAAAGTATATAGCAAAGGACTCCGCATATAAATTCATTAGGCTAATGCAAAAGCGCACTTTGCGCGACGCTCGCACTGCGACCGATTATCTAAACATAGACCGAAACTTGCTAGTTCTCTCTCTCTCTCTTTCTCTCTCATGACGTACCTAATTGTTCGCGATTCTCTACGACGCGTGGCTACACTCAGCGTCATTAAAACGATTTCACTCGCGCGTTTGACCAGTCACTTTATTGGTCGCGGCTTCCCTTTGTGATCTTTGTTGAGAGATAGATTTATTGATATAGATCGCAAGCCATTTGGACGGCTGTTGGCTTTTTATTACTACAGTTATTATTAAGAGACAGTTCGTTTTGCGCATTCTTCAACAAAACCTAGGCCGAAATAACAATTCTATTTTTAAATCATTTCGAAAGTCAAACAGTTATATTTATGTAAAGTGAACGGTTCCGAGCATTCAACTTACAAAATTATACATTTACATTATGAATCCACTTTTCGCAACATCTCGGTCGTAACGTCACACAATTCTTTAAAAGCAAACATGCGATAGAGAGAGTGAGAGAGAGAGAGAGAGAGAGAGAGAGAGAGACAGAGAGAGAGAGAGAGAGAGAGAGAGAGAGAGAGAGAGACAGACAAAAAGAGACATCACGTTATTGCTCGTCTTTTTTGGACCGTGTCCCGAATGATTTTGGCACGACTATTAGACAACGTTATCATCATGTCACAGCTTCTACGCGACATGAGCTACGGAAATATAAATTCACGCTGTGATTTGTCTTTGGTGTCTAAGTGGCTGTAATTCGAAGAAATGTGCTTGCTATAGTTGGTGTTGAAGAGATCTAAATAAGTACGACAATAATTTTACTCTCTATTAATTATTTACTGTGACTCGCCAATATAAAATGATTCCGCCTTCAAATTACTAATAGTTTTAGCACTTTTTGACAAATGCAACTTTAAAATAAGCTTGTAAAGACTTCCTTCTCATCAAGTCAATTATTGTTGGCTGTTGTTTGACAGAAAATTACTATCGTTTAAGGGTGTCGAGTATTGCTGAAGAATGAAAAATACATTTTTTCCACTTTCATTATACAATTTGTTTCAGTAAAGATACCATGATATAACTTTTTTATATATTTTACTTATCCATCGATCGAAATTTATTATATTTTATATTGTTAAGTAGATTGGCTTTGCTATAGTTTTAGTATTGTGAAGTGTTTATTTTCAACAAATGAATCACCTGCAAAGGAAAAGACGCTGACTTTGCATTGAAAAAATCATGATTCAAAAGTCCATGGACGAAAATTCAATAAAATCAATTTCTATTATTTTCCCATCGGCTAATTACCTTTTATATGATTGCGACTTAGTATGCCGTATTTCAACATTAAAATATTCAGCCTCGAATAGCCTACATATATATATATATTTTTTTTTTTCGAATAAAACCGAAATAAATCTGTCACCAGCGGCGAGCGGAGGCAAAAAGTAAAATATCTTGCGAGGCACAGCGTGGAACGCTAACAAACGTCGTCGTGGATTTTCGTCAAGCTAATTAACTTGGCTTTCCGAGCCTTCTTATCAAAACATCCCGTATACGTTTTCGCGGCGGTGGCGTGCCGCAAACTGCGGACAAGCCTCGAGTGCTGCTGCTGGCTTTAACGTCGCGTCTAATCGTTATTACGTGACAGCGACTACTGACGACCGCAGAGTAGACTCTCACCTACTTAAAGACTTTTATAATCGTTTATTTATACATTTTCTTCTTGCATAGGTAGGTGAAATGATTATGTCTCTGGATTGAGATAAGTCGTATCAAAATCAATTTTATTGATGTTTAAGAATACTTTTTCACTTTTGCGATACGTCCTGTTTATGTTTAATTTTTGTATTTTTCCCGAAAAATCGCCGAACAACAAATGAAATATAAGATTTTATATTTTTATTTCAAATTGTAATTATGGTTGTAGTTTTATCAGGTAAAAATTTATCACGTGCAAATAGAACAACGTGTAAAGCGATTTCAAATAATGTATGTAAAATATTGATTTGTCATTTGAAAAAAAGATTGATCCTTCAATTTTTCAATTTGATTTTTCCACCTAAGGTCTGCAGAACTTATCTAGAAATAAATAAGTCTTAACGTCTGTATTGAGAAATGTTCAATTCAGAAACACTGTTTCTGATAATTATAAATAATCATAAGAAAATAAAAGAAAAATCAAAGTTCTAAAACTCACTGCATACAATAAAGTTTTTCTTAAGAAATAATAAAAAAAATTACCGAGAATATAATTTTGATTTAATCCCAGAAGCAAAAATACCAACAATCTTTCGGAAAGATAAAAAACAAGAGGGAGGGGAGTCATCATCAACGAATAAATCCCTAATTGAGATGCCAAGCAAGTTTGGGATTCCTGTGGGGCGTGCTGGCGTGAACGACGTCCGGCGGCGGCGTTACATCTAGAAAATTCAGTCAAGCGATTCTTTCAAGGAAGGGTGGGTAGTGGATATCTGTCTACTACTACATCGCTACCTCCACACGTCTGTCATCCTTGTGGGGCGTCACATATAAACCTATATATAATTCGAATAGAATCGCGAGATCCTTTTCTCGTAAGAACCCGAGCGCTTCTAAATTTAGAAACGAGGAAACGCGCCTGAAAGATTTGCTGCTGCTGCTCAGTTTTCTTTCTTTGGTCGGCCAGCCGTTGATGTGTTTCATCAATTTGTAAGCAATTAAATCGCTCTATTTACAGTTAGAATTGTATTTTTATGGTGTGTTTCGTTTGCTCGCCGCTCGGCACTGATTGATTAATATAGCTGTATTTCATACTTATTATGATTGAATTAGGATGTTTTATCAATTACTGCAATCGCGGATAATTAATAATGAAAGCTCTCGATAAAAAGTAATAATAAAAATGTATATAATTTCAAAGTGTTACTTCAAACGATATGTTCGTAGTTTATCATTCAAATTTATTGGTAAAAATGAGTAGTTAATTTTTTTAATTAGGACTGTATATTTTTCGAAATAATAGTATATTTGCTGCTAAATTTGTGTATATCAAGTAATAATAGTATTAAAAATTTTAGCGATATTAAACCAAATATTGCTTGCAATATAACTTATTATAATATTTATAAACCTTTGATTTGGAAACCTAAAGATATTTGTCAATAATTTCTGAAATTGAATGATGACCATATTATTTTAAGAATTGCGAGTGGTTATTTTAAAGCATTGGTTTGAGTTTATAATGTATTCGATAACATCCTTTATATAAATTAATCAGTTATGCATATCAAATAAGAAGTTGTTTATGCACTCAAATAAAGATATTATCCAGTAATGTTAATTGTTGTATCAAAATCTATATTAAATGACACAGCTTTTTCATGAAACATGCGCGAGTTACGGTGTACATATTATGTAGCATTAATTATTACATATGATTATAGTCAACAATTTAATAATTTAATATTTTGTGCAAATGGTTTCGAAACTTTATCGTGAAAATGATAGATAACAAACTACATTGGCAAAATTACCTTCATGAACGCTTCCACTTCGTCTCCTCCGACGGTGTGACATCCTCGGCTGCATAAGCCGTCCGCCGGTGAATTTATTCGGATCGAGAATATTCTCCACTGAGAAGGCAAGTCCACGTTTATTCGTCTGTACGGAATTGGCGGTAGTAGTGGTTGTCGTGGTGGTCAAGCCTCCTGAACTTCTTCCAGGTGTACTACAAACGAGAGCTTGCGGTAGATGATAAACCGTGGGTACGACAAGTGAACCAACCGGCATAGGTACACCGTTGAAGAGAGCCTGTGGATAGACAAACTGTTCGGGTGGTACAATGCTACATCTCGACGTGGCAGTAAGATCGACGGGACTACTAGTAACATCGCGACACACGTCGACCTCGACGTCGCCCTCAACGTCCACTTCTCGTTTCTCGCTGTCATCGTCGTCCTCGTCATCTCTCGATCTCACTTCACCTTCTTCGCTCTCCTCGTCGTCTTTCGCCGCTAACTCTGCCTCCTCGTGAATGGTTTTGCTGTCCGTGCGACTGACCATCGCTGTGTCTTGTACGGGATTACATCGTTGCAAATAAAACGGGTCCGCCGGTCGTACTTGAAATAGAACTTGCGGTCGCCTGTCCGGACGTGGACGTGTCACCGCTGCTTCGGCTTCCTCGTTCGGCACTGGACCCAATGGTGACATGTTGTCGGCGTTTATCGCTGCTGCTCCTGTCGATTCTTGCTGCTGCATCATCCACATGCCGACACATGCGAGCTCAGGGCTGCTGCTGTTGCTGCTCCCTCCGCTTCGGCCACGTGATCGGCCTGATTTCCATCGTCGCTTTAGGCTCGCGATGCATTGACAATACTCGCTTGCTCTTCTTGCCGACTTCTCGTTTGGAAACTGAGTTCAATGGCGCATTTTTCCGAGCTGCGAAAAGAAATATATCTTCTTTTCTTGATTATGTTGCTTCTTTTTATGACTGCGCCAACCGGATACCAATACTTAGTGCTTTCCTATCGAACACAATGTCAACTTCCATTTAGCCTTGTGCTAAATATCTGCATTTTCTGTCACAATCAGTTCAACTTATTAATAACTAGTATCACTTTAATTTATAATCCTACTTTCGCCATAAATCTCATTGTCAATGATTAACCATTAAATCACAGATATAACTTTGTTCCAGTCTCGATGAAAAAGAAAAAAAACAAACAAAACGCGCAGTTCGACGGGCAATAGTGACACTCAACTGTCGACTAGTTAGACGTGAAAATTTCAATAATCAAACGTACACAAGCGCGCACGATCACTTAGACAATAGGCTTCAATAATGTGCAGTTTGCTGATCAATTGACACCTTACATGAAAAAAGCTTGCGCGCCCGTCGACTCTCGAGACAGCAGTGTCATGCGATCGAGAGACTCACAGAGAACGATGTACACAGAAGAACGAGAACAGAGACAGAGAACGGTGAGGGTTTCGCTCATACTCGGTGGAGTTACGTGTTTGTGTGTGCGTGTGTGAAAGACAGCTTGCTATCCCGCTTTTAGGTAAACGCCCATGTCTGGGGCGTGGCAATGTGGCTACCAATCAGCGTTGAGATAGTGGGGATGTAATGTCGAAACGAGCTTTTACCCTCAAGGCGTTTATCTGAAAGGAGAGGATACCGAGAGAGAGAGAGAGAGAGAGAGAGAGAGAGAGAGAGAACGACAGCCACACCACCGACGTTTAAATTCCCCTGCTTGTGCCTCTCTCTCTCTCTCTCTCTCGCAGCTAAACGAGCTTTGAACGCTCAAATTTCTCTCGCGCTACGTATGTCCACGGAATTAACTTTGGCCGCGCGTATACGAGCTTATTAATGCCGCTCTACGTTGTAGGATGAGAAACTTTTACGGTTTGGCTCTAATTGTCATTACCTAAGATTCGATTTTAATTGCAAGTTGACTTTTAGTAACAAATATTTTCTATGTCTTGTATTTCTATCAAAATTTTTGTAAACCACAAGTCAGCTTAATCAAGCAAACTTTGACTGTGGAGTGTCTGAGCGTTACAACATTGTCATGAATTTTTGAGTTTTCTCTGCGTCTTCGTCACCTGTAAACAACTTGATTGTCACAAGAGCTTGTAAATGAAAAAGAATCATCGTCTTGATCTAAATAATTTCCAGTTTTGCAAAATTCAGAAACTGCAGCAGCTAAAAACTAGCGAACAAGTAATAAGTTAATAGAGCAGAAAAATGATAGCGATAAAAGAGTCTGTACACAGGTAACTATATAGGAGCGCACTAATAAAGTGCAAAAAGTCCTAAAGCGACAAGCACACCACGAGATCTCGAAAAGCTTTTATCCCTGCAGCTCCGACTTGCGATAGGAGAATCGCCTCTATTTCTCCCGCTTCCAAGTGGGCGCGGCGTAAGAAAGTTTATAGAGCACGAAGAGGGGAGAGGAGAGAGAGAGAGCACATATCCCCACTCTCTCTCTCTCTCTCGCTCTCTTCGCCTATGTACACACCAGCTAAAGTGGTTTGTCTTTGATTTAGCCGCGGCTATTATACGGGGCGTACACCTGCGCGCGGCTCGTCTTGTTGATAGCGCTACGTCGTCTCATCCTCCTACCCCACCTATATCTTCCAAGTGGTATAATCACCGCGCGTTACGTACGCCAAGTGTAGCAAGATGCTCTCTCGTTAGGGCCGATGATCATGGTTTGTATATCCATCCTTGTTGCATACCCTTCGGGCAACACGTTTCCAGATGAGGTTATCGCGCTTGGTAAGTTTCTTACGGTTCTATATTCGCGTGAACTTCGTCTTACCATTAACGTTGATACTCATGTTTACAATTGATCCTTTGCTCTATCCACACGCCCAGGATCTTGTATTTATAACGTGCGTTTCAATACTTGCAAGCTGTCGACGAAACTTTCTTTCAATATTTTTTCAACGGATTTAATCCTCGATTTTCCGAAGAAAAGATGAACGAAAGCTTGGTGTCAAAGCACAAATCAAAATATAACATGGGGAACAAACAGTGGAGAATCCCCAAATAAATGTACAATACAAACTGCATAGATCCGATATGAGAAGGCACTGCAATTTATTGAAAATGAAAAACAAGGCAGCTGTGCACGGGCAAACAGAGTGCGAGAGATTAATCGTATCGAAGATAGAAGAGCCACAATGATTCGGCTGGTTGGGTAATTGCGGCAGCGCATTAGCCGACAATTTCAGTACTCTCGTCAGCAGCAGCATCGACTCGAACGGCGGGCGGCTGACTGTTTGCACGGGGCCTCGTGCTCTTAACTCGGCTCGCGCACTCTCGTTGCGGATATTGTTTACCCGACCATTTAGGTAATTGGCCCGCGCGCGTCGATCGAATGCCTTCCTGACTTGCGTTCTCATCATAGCGCACATATATATAGATCTATATATATATATGTAAATATATATATGCTTCTCTCTCCCTCTTTTTTAATCCTCTGGCCATCCATGTTTATATTCAACTTTTTTAACCACCAATTTTTGAGCGACGTTTGCTTCAATTTCTTTTCACATCATTTTTGGGGTATTGCTTAATATATTTTTTTACGGCAGTGTAACATTCATAGAACTTGTTTTTAAATTTATTCAAAGGTTAATCATCTTTTTAATTAATCAATCATTTAACCAAGCGCACAAAGCTTAATATTCAAGGATAATTGTTCCTGTACGAGCTGGCGCTCGCGTGGATTTTGATCCGTCGCCGCGCGAGCTCACTCGCGACAAGTTAGGCGCAGCCATTTGCCGTCAGCGCTAGTACTCTGTATATATAGCGAGTGAGAGCTTTACCCTCGGCAAATTTGAATTACAAAATGCGAGTAATGGCGGGATTGTCGCGCGCGAGGCCGAAGCGCGTGTCGCTATCGACCTCGTCGCTGATAGGTACAACCAGTATCAGTGCTCTTTGAACCTCGAAATTGACTATCGCTCTGACTATTTAGCACACAAGCTGCGCGCGTGAGCCGCAAATAAAAAATCTCGAATATAACGCCTTTCGAGATAAATCAATTTGCCATTTCTTTTTTTTCTTCTTTTTTCCTGTAAAACGCGACGATCGAAGCGTGTTTGCTTCAACATTGTTTTACATTATTTTATGATGAAATAAGATATATAACTTTCACGTTGCTTCATTATCAAATTATCAAATATTTTAACACTTTGGATCTGTCCGATGTCAAATTTGTAATGAATGACCACGAAAATTCCTAATGTAATAATAAAGTAATATCCAGTAAGAATTTAATATTTTAAGCTGCAATTCTATTTATGATAATATTGTAAAATCATAACAATAATCTAAAAAGAAAAAAGAGAGATTTTACAAGTTCTCTCTCATGGGGATTTCTAAAAATAGAAAAGAAAAAATACGTCCTGTACACAACGAGCAGCAGCAAATTCGGAAACACAAGCGTAAAAAAGCTTTCCACCTTTCTTCCCCTCCCCATAAAAAACGGAGAAAGCGCGCGCTCGTATCGTCCTCTCCACGGGAAATCCTAAACTCCCAGGGATTTTCAGTCTGCGGTCGGCGTGTAGAAAACCCTTTGCAGCGTTCTCTCTCTCCGTTTCTCACTCGCGTAGAAGTGCGAGAGGGAGAGGACGTTGCGCACGCGCCGTAATTGCGGTTTTAACACGGGCGGCTGGTTACTGGCGCACGCTAATGGGGTAATTATGATAACCATAATTCGCGAGCGGCCATTGTGTTGCGCTCCCGTAGCTGCTGCTGTCGCTGTCGCCTTTTGCTCGAGCAAGCGAGTTTTCCGCATATTATCCGTTTTGCTGCAATTAGCGATTTTACGCAATTAAACGACGTATAGCTCGTATGCCCGATTGTTTACAACTTTCTATGTAGCTCGACGAGCAGACTATAAGGTTTTATTAAAAGCTTCGAAGCGTTTGGCTGCCGCTTTTTGGCCTAATTTTAAATGCGCATCGCTGGATGTTAATTAAAGCTCGTAATGCGTATTTCGAGCGTGAATCAATTTTTTCCCCTTTTTGTTTGACGTTTCGAACGAACGACTGAAAGTTTTATTTTCCGTCCGATTGGCTTGTTTTCTTCTGCATGGAAGGGATTTCGCAAATTTTTGTTTTGGCTTTGTAAAGAATACGTTTGTTGCGCGTTGTTTACGTTATTATTTGTAATTCTATGATGAAACTTTGTTAGCTCTGTAATGAATTATTTATATCGCTTATAACGTTAGTTTCATCGATTTTCGTGTTGATGATGAAATACATAAATTGTGCTGATATATATAAAGAACAAATTAGCGTAATTAAGAGCGAAGAGCGCCAGTTACATTTTAACATGAAATATAAAAAATTGCGAAAATCTTTTTCATTATGTGTTCAGTACGCTATATTTGATAATTAATCTAATTTTGATAAAAGAAAAAATGTCATTATTTCTGGAATTATTGTCCTGCGGTAACTAATATTTTCATGCATAAAGATGTTTATCATTCTAAGTTATCAAGAACAATTATTGAATTAAAAATCTCAAGAAATGGAGGCATGGTACTTTTTCAATTTTCTGTTCATGTGATAAACTGATTGGTCAATTCTAACTTCAGTGTTCATATATATATATTTATAATATTTTATCCTGTAAACATCCTCTTTGCAATTGCCTATTTATGTTTATATGTTACATCGGAGAACGAACGAGGACAGAAATGTGATCAAGATAAAGGGTAAGGTAGCCAGTGCAGCACGATGCAGCACAACACAGTTGAATAGCGCATGTGTGTCTGCCGTGCGCTCGCCAGATCGGCGCCAAATGTTACGACGACTTTAAGTGCCGAAAACCGATAAAAAAAAGGCCGACCACGCTTAGCAAGTCGTAGCTTTCTCGAAAGCGTACTCGGTCTATCGTAAACCTTTGAGAGATCAATAGCTCTGTTCTGTCGCTCTTGAATAAATCAAGTTTACTTGTGATTTTTCAAGAATAAAATGTTACCGATATAAGCACCCTTAAATTCCACACTCCACTATATCGCAGTTTTATTTTAGAAAAATCAGCTTAACGAGAATAATCTACACGGGCGTGCTAGTCGGAGTTTGGTGTGTGTATCGGCTATCCCTCTTGATCTCGCTTGCGGTGCGCATCCAATTACACCGATTACTCAATGTTTACCTGGGCGACTACTGCTGCAACTGCTCGGATATTTACCGGAATAGCGTGTGCGATTCGTCGTTAAACAATTGCGACTTGGACGCATTACGCGCTAGTTTCATGCTCTCTTGCATGTTAACTAGTGTAATTCATTACGTTGTCTCGTCGAGTGTGGCCGGCATCAAACAATTACAGGTGCTATTGGGTATTCGTCCCCTAATTGATCAAATCTATGTAGGAATCTAGAAATTTTTTAAA